ATATAAACGCAATCTTTTACATTTGTTTTTTCTTGAAAATTAACTATTTTTCACGCCTCTCTTATTTTGCCACGTAATTGATATGAACGTGTAAGCAGGCAGAATCAAAATCATAAGATTTGCGAAAATTAAAAATAGATCAGTCGACGGGAGTTTTACTTAATGTCTGAAGGGTTATCATAAACCTTCATAAACTATCTATAAAAGAACTGGCGTTTTAAGTAAATATGATATTTGGTTCAAATATACCTACATTGAGAGCTTATAGAATATTATAAATATCAACCTACCAAGAAACAATGATATTTGCGATGCAGATGAAATCACCACCCAAGAAACAAGTTAAGAAAGGCCTTACAAGTAACTTAGTAAGAATTCGTTTACCCTTATGATTATTAGATTTCAATACCATTAGTAAATCCTGAAAAGGACTGTAGCGACCCTAGTCTGCATAGAATGAAACATTGATAGTGGAATTTTCTCATATTGTTATAAATAGGCATCACGATGCCAATGAATTTCACATAGCCTTACCTCTCTAAAGGTACTCTCATCCGGGATGAAAGACCGTTATCCTAAACTACAATTTCTTTTTTTAATTTTATTTTAAATGGTATCAGAATATGCAGAAGTAGGAGCATAATTCATTAAAGAGAGACGTCCATCTAAGCAAAGATTTTGGTTAATAAAATATTACTATTACTAATATTAATGCAATTGATATATATTTACCTTGTCTTGGATCGTTTCATCACGTTCCTGTATCTCCTTCTTTAATCCCATAACATCCTTTTCCAGGCTGCGTATCACATTGTTCAGCTTCAAAGTCTCAGTGTGAAATTTCTTAATCTCTTCTTTGTGCTCATCAATATCTTTTTGTAAACTAGCAAATTTTTTTTTCATTATTCCTGACTCTCCTTTGAGGCGAGCATTGGCATCTCGCTCTTCCCGTAGACGCCGTTCGTACTTGATTTTTATATCCAGTATTTCACGATCTGCATCTTCTTCTATAAAACGCTTCGTCACCTCATACTCCATAGTCTGCTCGCGTATCTCCTTATTCATTGAATCCATCAGTAGTGATTTTTCATTTAATTTGGACTCGAAGAATTCTGTCAATTCTTCGAGCATACGCTCTCGTGATTCTTCCATCTCCTGCAACTGGCTCTCATAATCCTCCTGCATTTTCTGTGACTTAGCTTGCAACTCTTGAAACTTCTCGTATTCAAGCATCAGCTTGTGGTTCGATGAGGACTCTAAGTCACGCAGTTCCTTTGTGTGTTTTTCCATCACTTCATGCAGTTGCTCCTCGTGTCGTGCTTCTTCGCGTTCTTTTTCAGTTCTCAAAACCTGGTTCTTGGTCTTTAGAGACTCCATTTCTTGAATAAATTTCTCAGTTAACTCTTTAATGCGTTCATTATGATTCATATCCTTTAATCGTAGCTGATATTCATTCTCCATCTTTAGTTCATCAACTCGTGTCTTCAATTCTGTCATGACTGCATTCTAAATTTATAAAGAAAGTAACATAAAATCGCTATAATACTATTTTAGTTTCATTTTCCGTGAGCTATTAACTATCGTATAATGGGTTTCGTAAAAGAACCTAATTCATTCCATTAAATATTTTCATCAATTGGCTCATCAATTTGCTTCTAAAGAGATCGCTTCTCTTAATTATTGGCCCTAAATTAGAACGAGCCCTACCTATAATTAGGCTAAGGCTAGGTTATTAAGTTAAATTCGCATTAGCAAAAATTAATTATAAGACACATTTAAGGAAGCCTTTAAAGGCTTAAAACTAATAGGACCGCATTTTCATGGCTAGATAAATAGGCTAAACACTGAGTTTTGAACAAGATAAAAGGACTTAAACTTTTCATATATTTGCCTCGAATATAACTTTACAAAGCTGAACTATTATTCAGGTCCTGACAATAAACTTATATATGCTTGTTGACAATGCTCACTTTTTCTTCGAGATCACTTTTCGTGATCAGAATCTCTTCTGCCCATGCCACTTCTTTCTCAACTTTCAAGGCTCGGCCCTCACGGTCTTGGATGCGCCATACCATAACTGAACAGTCATCAGATACAGTAACAAGAAACTCATCATGCTGAGTTACTTTCATTCGAGTTATGGGCGCACAATGGCCTACATAATCCTGCCAGTCGCCGGGTTGCGTAAGAGGGAATTTGTAAGAACGCAGGTGCCCCGTTTGTGTGCCGCAATACAGCATACGTCCAGAGTGTGAAAGCGCAACTGTGGTTAAGAGGATATCAGGAGATTCAAGCTCGCGGACAATCTGAATTCGAGTTTAATTAAAAGTAGAGTATAAGGTAGAATGAAAGATTGTTGTCAAGGAAAATAATTTAATATTCGACCTTTTTGGCTCATTTTAATAATTTCATTTAAGTGGAATAAAAATACTAATTTTGTCACCTTGGATTGATTAAGTTGATTTAAGGTCTGATAGATAAGCTTTATCATAATAAGATAAGTAGGCTTAGTATGGCACTGATGTTCCCTAATTCTGGCCTCCTGAAGGGCTATCTCATCCAGAATGGACTTCAGCTCTGAACTTATCAAGGTTTCATCCGTACCCACGACGGGATTCATTTCTGGGTTGTGAGTTGCATGGCAATTTTGCCACTTCATTACACAATTAAGCTTGTCATTGTGTCATAGGGCAAAATTGGCAATCAAAGTTAGCCAGACCTCCGATTGGGGCTGTCGATTAAGCAAACATTTATTTACCTTTGCAATCGACAAAGTTACATAATTTTGAAGTGAGTAAGCTTTGAGTCTCTCACTGATTTTAAAATAAGAACTTAAATGAATCGATTAGTAGTGTCATTATGCTACTCTTGGCCCGGTAGCGAGACCTGTAAGAGTTGCCAATGAGACCTAGATGGGGATGAAATTGCATTCCTCCCTTGATAGATAACATTTTCAAAGTGAAGGCTAAAATAATTTCAATAGCATTTTGAGGCCCAGTCAATTCTTGGTGGGAAAATTCTACTATCAGTCCTCATATTATATTAGGCGAACTAGGGCTAATAAGTTGTTA